AAAACAATGATATTCACTGTTGGATCTACAGCACCCAACACAATGCCTATTGCTCAGTAGGTTTTCACAGAATGTTCATTGAATTAAATTAAAGTAAATGACACAGGTCAATGGAACAGAACAGAGATCCCAGAAAAAAATCCACGCATACATGGTCAATTAATTTACAACAAAGGAGCTAAGACTATACAATGGGAAAAGGACAGCCTCTTCAAGAAATGGTATTGAGAAAACTGGGCAACCACATGCAAAAGAATGACACTTGGATCACTATCTTACACCATACCAAACATTAACTAAGACTTGAACGTAAGGCCTGAAACCATAAAGCTCCTAGAAGAAAACATAGGCAGTGAGCTCCTTGACACCTGGCTTGGTGATGATTTTTTGAATCTGATACCAAAAGCAAAAGTAATAAAAGCAAATTAAACAAGTGGGATTACATCAAACTAAAAAGCTTCTGCACAGCAAAGGAAACCATCATCAAAATGGAAAGGCAACCTACTGAACAGGAGAAATAATTGCAAATCGTATATTCAATAAGGAGCTAATATCCAAAATATGTAAAAAAAAAAAAAAACTCATACAACTCAAAAAACACCCAACAACCCCATTAAAAATCTTTGTCTGAGAAGACATTTTTCCTAAAAAGACATACAGATGGCTAACAGGTAGATGAAAAGATGTTCAACATCATTAATCACCAGGGAAATGCAAATCAAAACCACAATGAGATAAACCTCACACCTGTCAGAATGGCTACTGTCAAAAAAACAAGAAATAACAAGTGTTGGCAAGGATATGAAGAAAAGGAAACTCTTGTGCACTCTTTGTAGAAATGTAAATTGGTGCAAACACTATGAAAAACAGTATGGAGTTTCCTCAAAAAACTGAAAATAGGACTACCATAAGATCCAGTAATCCTACTTCTGGATATTGATCTGAAGAAAATAAAAACACCAACTTGAAAATATATCTGCACAACCATGTTCATTGCAGCATTATTTACAATAGCCAAGATATGGAAACAACCTAAGTGTCCACCAATGGATGAATGGATAAAGAAATTACATACGCGCACACACGAATATTATTCGGCCATAAAAAGAATGATATCTTGCCAACAACATGGATGGACCACAAGGCAATTATGCTACGTGAAATAAATCAGACAAATACAATATGATCTCATTTTTTTATGTGGAATCTGAAAAAACAAAACAAAGTTCAAACTCATAGATACAGAGAACAGACTGATGGTTACAAGAGGCAAGGGGTGATGGGGAGTAGAAGAAATAGGTGAATTTTATTTCATCTTAAATAAATTGGATTTAAAAATTTTTAAATGACCATATCTATGAACTGGTTACAGATTCATTCATTTGGGTTATCTTCATAATCAGTAATGACTGCTAGAACGAACAAAATCAAAAAGAAATGTTTTAAGTCAATGGAAAAATTACTCCTGTCCTTTGTGCAGCTATATAAGCAGAGAACCCCTCACTTCTTCTTTTTTTTAACATCTTTATTGAAGTATAATTTCTTTACATTGTTGTGTTAGTTTCTGCAGTATAACAAAGTGAATCAGCTATATGTATACATATATCCCTATATCCCCTCTCTCTTGTGTCTCCCTTCCACCCTCCCTATCCCACCCCTCTAGGTGGTCACAAAGCACCGAGCTGATCTCCTTGTGTTATGCAGCTGCTTCCCACTAGCTATCTATTTTACATTTGGTAGTGTATATATGTCCACGCCACTCTCTCACTTTGTCCCAGCTTACCCTTCCCCCTCCCCGTGTCCTCAAGTCTATTCTCTACGTCTGCATCTTTATTCCTGTCCTGCCCCTAGGTTCTTCAGAACCATTTTTTCTTTTTTAAGATTCCATATATATGTATTAGCATACTGTATTTGTTTTTCTCTTTCTGACTTACTTCACTCTGTATGACAGACTCTAGGTCCATCCACCTCACTACAAAACAGCTCAATTTTGTTCATTTTTATGGCTGAGTAATATTCCATTGTGTATATGTGCCACATCTTCTTTATCCATCCATCTGATGATGGACACTTAGGTTGCTTCCGTGTCCTGGCTATTGTAAATAGAGCTGCAATGAACATTGTGGTACATGGCTCTTTTTGAATTATGGTTTTCTCAGTGTGTATGCCCAGTAGTGGGATTGCTGGGTCTTTTCTACCTCCATTTCCTCACTTCTTTCTCACTTTTTCCTTTTTCTTTCAATTTAAGGGAAAAAATCTCATTTTACCTTATTTAAAGTCCTTTAAGCAATAAAGTCTTAGTATAATATAAAATGTTCAAAATGTTGCACATTTACCTTTATAGGAGTTTTTATATTTATATATTATAATAATTTATGTATTGTTAGATTTAAATAATGTAGAAATAGTGCTGGTGAATCTTCATTTCAGTGTGGAACCCAAAGACTGAAAGAGTGACCCCAACTGTTCCCTGTTACCAAAGATCATCTGGTCCCCACTGAACTCATGGACTGCACAGATCTAGCCCATCTACCAGATTCTTAAACCTCTTCAGGGAATGAGATTCTAAAATTTAATAGTCCATTGAGTGGAGAAAATTGTCTTTCTTTTCCTAGTGAGAAAAATGATTTTTACATTTCTTATAACTCAAATGTCTCTGCTGAAATAGAAGCAGGCTTATTTTCTTTTGTTTGGTTCTCAGCCAAGTTAGAGAATAAATTTTAATATGCATATTAAAATAATAACTCCCTTCCATGAACTTCACAAAGGGCATCAAAGAACAGCATTGTCAATTCCCCCTGGATCCTCGACCAAGAGGTTTAGTTACAATAACAAGATTTTAAAGATCAGGTCTGATTATTAGTAAGATTATTTGGCCATACACACATATTCCTTTAGTTCCACTTTGGAATGGGTATGAGATGAAATTACCACTGCACCAAAAAGTAGATGGAATAAAATTAATTAATTAATTAATTAAAGCAAATGGAGGGAAGCCCTAGGCTAACTCATTGCCCTTGGGGGCAACAAAGCCTGCCCCCAAAACTGGACTCCTTATTTCTCTTCTACTTTCCAAAGGTTTCTCAATATTGAAACTGATCCCCTCTCTTTTAACACAAAAATTTCACAACCTCCTCGAAAGTCACTAATATGCAAAAGATAACTAATAGTTTTTGGCTAGAGTCTAAGTTTCTGAACATCCTCACCAGCTAAAAAGACTTTGCTCAGATTTACTTCCATTATGTTCTATTTTAACATAATAAGAATATTTTATTTTAAATATGTGTACATGCAAAATATTGAAATATTGCATGCACTTTCTAACTACACTCCTCCCCCATAGATCATGATATGTTCCTCCTGGGAATCCCTGGGCTTTCTAGTTTTGGTCTGGCCAGACTCCCTTCTATGGGCAGCCCTTTGAAACTTGTTCCACGATGGGGCTTTGTCATAGGTAACCAGACTTCCAAGATGATGAACTCCTGCCCGTGACATTTTCAAGTGTCTCCTTTCCCCTCCATACACACTCCTGCACCTCCCTCCCCACTGGTGCTGTGCTCCACTTTGGGCTCCAGCTGTGGACTGGAAAACCAGGGCTGACTGCTGTTAAGACTCGTTCACTGACTTTGCCACACTCTTGGGTCTAGTCTGCCTTCCTACCCTCTACCATCCACCGCCCAAGCCTTGTCTATCCTTGTGGGCGAGTTTCATGCCAGAGCCTGCTTCCCATTCCAAACACATGACACACACCGATAACAGGCTGAGAGAACAGAGGCCTCTGCCTGGAGCAAGCACATGGCATTCCTTACCCTGAGAAAACACAAGACGAGGCTTGGCTTGGCTTGGTTTGGAGCCGTTTTTATCCCTCAGAAGGTAGAGGATTCCACAGAGGAATTGCTACTTTGGACTTAACTCTAACAAAGTTGAGGTGATTGATTGCAAGGAAATATGAGATATACTGTGTTGAATAAGAACTGGGCACTGTTTACAATCAAAGAGGCAGAGTAGGGTAGTGGAAAGAGCTCCAACTACATGCTCAGAAAGACCTCAGTTCAATTCCCAACTTGGTGTGAACTTGGCGAACTTATTTAACATGTGTGAGTTCAACTTCCTCATTCATATAATGGGGATAATAACTCTACCTATTTTGTAGGGTTGCTGTAAAGATGAAATGTGAATTCACAGTGTCCAGCATGTAGTAGGGAACACAATAAGTGCTCAGCTGATCATTTATGAGCATACAGTATGAGTTTGATAAATGTTAGTTTAAAAAGTCAGCTTTCCAAATGTTAAATGAAAATTTGTTTGCTCCTGCGGTCAGAGACTCTAAATGGAAACCGTGAGTGCTATTGCATTAATCCTTGTAGCATTTTTTCTTTTGTGCCATTTGGCTAATTAAATATTTTATTCTTTAAAAATTAATGGGTCAAGGACTTCCCTGGTGGTGCAGTGGTTAAGAACCTGCCTGCAATGCAGAGGACACGGGTTCAATCCCTGGTCCGGGAAGATCCCACATGCCGCGAAGCAACTAAACCCATGCACCACAACTACTGAGCCTGTGCTCTAGAGCCCGTGCGCCACAACGAAGCCCGTGCGCCTAGAGCCCACACTCCGCAACAAGATAAGCCACCGCAATGAGAAGCCCACATAGCTCAACAGAGATCCAATGCAGCCAAAAATAAATAAAAATTAATTAATTAATTAAAAAATTAATGGGTCATGATAGTAAAATAAGTTTAAAAGCTGAACAATTTACCAAAAAATATATAAAAATGACTCTTAAACATATTGCAAATATGTCTGATCTCATAATTTGAGAAATACAAATTTCAATTACACAGAGGTATAATTTCTCTAAAATTGATTTAGAAATAAAAACTACTACCACTCTTGTCGAAGCTGAGGGAAACAGGCATTTGCATACATTTCTGGTGATAATATAAATTAGAAAACTCTCATAAAGGGATATTTTGCAATATCTAATAAAAATACTTATCTTAAAAAGTATGGAACGCTTCACAAATTTGCATGTCACTCTTGTGCAGGGGCCATGCTAATCTTCTCTGTATCCTTCCAATTTTAGTATACATGCTGCTCTTATTATTGAGACAGATACTTTTATCTTCATTATAGAGCACAGGAGACCAAGATTCACAGGGGTTAAGTAACTTGACCAAAGTTACACAATTATAAAGTATCACAATTCCGAGGTTATCCCTGTGATTCTATCAACCTGATATGGTCAGAGTGTTATCTCATGCTTATCAGAAGTTCTTATTGGTAGTTACATAGGGATTTGATTAATAGACAAGAAAAATTAGTAATTTTTCAATAAATCGTTCACACCTGGTAGCAGCATTTGACATTACCAACATGAAGACAGACAGTATTTAAAGAGGTCTTTAGCATTCTAAAACACAATTATCTTTGTCTCTTTGACAGGCAATTCATTGAAAAAAAGAAGTTGAGGTATTGGTTTTTTAGATTAAAAGAGCCAAAAATGCAATGTGTCACTTGATTTGATTTCGTTTTGTCAAAGCCATGATAGACATGTTGGCAACAAACTGGGGAATTTGAATATGGACGAAGTGGAGAAAACAAGCAGGAATTATTGTTCATTTTTTGTTACTTTTGATAAAGGTGCTATCCTTTGAAGGAGAATTTTGCGGGGGTGGGGTGCAGAGCTGCAAGTGGTAAAATGAACTATTAGTGGTAAAATGTCATGTGTCTTTATTTTTAAATGATTGAGCTAAACAATATGTAAATAGAGGAAATGTGACAAAATATTGACAATTGTAGACCCTATAGGTGGAGGATACATAGGTGTTCTTTGCGCTACTAGTCCTACTTCTCTGTATATTTTAATGTTTTCATAATAGAATAGAGATTTAAGAAAAGGCCCTTGAAAATCGCTGATCTAAAGGGAGGGCTTTAAAGTCATGCCATGGGGTTTGGCTCCTGACAAGGCTTGTATCAAAGACTGAGAGGAAGACAGAGGACCAGATAGTCAAACTTGGGAGGACTAATGATTGATGGAATCTAGATTTGAAAATGGCTGGAATCTAGCCAGGGGAACCTTAATAAGGAAGAATATAGTCATGTATATAGGTTTTTAAAATATTAGCAGCCTGAGGAAAGCAGTCAGAACAGCTATTCTCACTAAAAGGACAAAAAGGCTTTAGTTGGTGGCAAGTCAATGTGAGAGAATGAAGTGATGTAGCTGCTAGGACAACTAATGCCCTTTTAGTCTCATTTCTGGAAGCAGGAGGTCCAGAACAAGGGAGAGTGATGGTCACACAGCCACATCCGGCCAGGTCACATCTGGAGTTTTAGATTCCACTCTAAGTCCCTTGTTTTGAGTGGCACTGGGATAGGTCCAGAGAGGATGACTGGGCCACATCATACTAGCCAAAGAACCTGGGGCTCGTAAGGTTAAAAAAAGACTAAGGGTCAAAAAGTCCACAAATAATACATGCTAGAGAGGATGTGGGAAAAACATTTGTATGCTGTTGGTGTGAATGTAAATTGGTGTACCACTATGGAAAACAGTATGGAGTTTCCTTAAAAAACTAAAAATAGAACTACCATATGACCCAACAATTCCACTCCTAGGCCTATATCTGGAAAAGACAAAAACTCTAATTCGAAAAGACACATGCACCCCAATGTTCATTGTAGCACTATTTACAATAGCCAGGTCATGGAAGCAACATGAATCTCCATTGACAGATGAATGGATAAAGAAGATGTGGTACAAATGTACGACGGAATACTACTCACCCATTAAAAAGGAATGAAATAATGCCATTTGCAGCAACATGGGTGGACCTAGATTATCATACTAAGTGAAGTAAGTCAGACAGACAAAGACAAATATTATATATCACTTATATGTGGAATCTAAAAGAATGATACAAATGAACTTATTTACAAAACAGAAATAGACTCAAAGACATAGAAAACAAACCTAAGGTTACCAAGGGGGAGGTGGGGGAAGGGATAAACTAGGAGTCTGGGATTAACAGATACACACTACTGTATGTAAAGTAAGTAAACAACAAGGACCTACTGTATAGCACAGTAGTAACCTATGAAGGAAAAGAATTGGAAAAAGAGTGTATACATAACTGAATCACTTTGCTGTACACCTGAAACTAACAAAATGCTGTAAATCAACTATACTTCAATTACATAATTAACTATTCATTTATTTTTAAAAAGACTAAGGAGAACATGGTCATGCCACCAAATATTTCAAGGGTTTTGTGCAAGAGACTAGTCCCATGTAGGCAGTGCCATAAAAAAGAAGCAGGTGCACTTGTTACAATAAAATGAAGCATTTTTGTAGCAGTGCCCAGGAAAGGACTGTGTTTGTTAAATGGACAGCTTGCGTGGATCATTACTGCTCCTGTTTAATGTAAGGAGAACACTGGGGAACTGATGCAAAGAGAGAGGAAAAATAAGTGAAAGTGCTTTGAAAAGCTTAAAATGCTACATAAGCTTGAGACATTTGTTACTACTTGCCAGAACTAGCATTTCAGTAGCAAAACTTCCAAGGGCCAGAGATAAAATTTATCTTTGACCTGGATGCTTGCCTGAACCTTGTATATAGTATCAAGGACTCCTTTGTCTGTTTTTTCAGGAAGATGAGTAATTATGTTGATAGTTTATCAGATTTCCAATTCCAAAGCTAGAAATCTCCCTGGCAACTCTTGAAGGGTTTTTTTTCTTTTCTTTTCTTCATTTCCTCTTTTTTTTTTGTTTTTGAGTCAATGAAAAACATTCATGTGGTTTAAAACTCAAAGAGTAAAGAAGGGTGTACTATGAAAAATCTCCTTCTGTCAATTTCTGTCCTCTAGCCATTCAGTTCCACTCCAAAGAGCCAACTGATGTTACCCAGTATCTTTCTTGTTTTTTAGACACTCTTACTCTTCATGTAGTTTTCTCCATGTGAGAATCTAGGAAGCAAGGAGAGAGTCCTCCTCTCTGTCCTCCTCCTTGCTCCTCTCAGATTCTCAGCAAGGGATCTGAAAGTCACTGACTCTCTGGCCATGTGACATCCCATAGGATGGTCACTGTTACACAGGACCCAGGGGAGGCCAATCCCAAGAGGTTTCGGAACAAGTTTTCCTCGAAACTGCAAACATTTGCCAATGCCTTATTTCAGCATTCTGCACTCCACTGGCCAGGCAGTTAAACCTCTTGCCAAAGACTCTGCAAAGAACAAGAGATAACATTGTGTGTGGGTGAATATGTCTATTTCTCCTCTGACCAACTTTCCTGATGACGTCACACAATTGCACCTTTGTTCCTGTCCAGTGGGCTGGACAGTTGGTGCTATGAGAACGTTATTGCTGCAATCACCAGGGTTCAGTTTATAGTGGAGAGTAACTCATGCTTATTCCCATACTGGCCTGTACACATGCTCTTCATTTGTGTATATGTGTGTTGTTTCTCCAATGATAAGTTAGTCAAAGGCAGGGTCCTAATACCTAAACCCTTTGTATCCTCAGATCCCCAAATACAAGGATCTCACCTCTTATTTTTTCATATTGTTTAGCAACTGAGAAATGGACTTTTCTTCCTTCTAAGTATCTCTTGTGTATGTGTCTGCGTAGCTCCCATGGGGATATGGTGGGAGCATGAGATATTGTTCTCATCCTCATGAAGTGACACATTTTTCTAGAGAGGCAAGAATTACACGTATGAAATAGGGACAGTACTTACTAAGGTGCGAAATTAAGATGGGCTTGAGGGGGACATGGTTGAAACATGATTGATCATCTCAGTTTTTTCTAGAGATTAGTTTTAATCTTGATTCTTAAGGCTGTAGTTTATAGATTTATTAACAGAAACAAGTCTGTGCTTCCTCTTCTTCCTGGAAATTTTCTGTATTCTGTTGGGCAGGGCCATCCTCATCCTTCGGACCTCCCCCAACTGGAGTAGCTACATCCACAAAGGACATTCTAGACAGGGCTTCCTTAGGAGGAGACAAGGCCATTCTTCCAACCCTGTTACACTTCTGCTCCCTGGAGTTATATGATTCTTGCACATTTTCAGGTAGATGGGCAGCTCTAATGTGTAATACCACAGGGCCCAGGAGCCAACAGACCCTTGACAGGCCTCCCATGAGCTTTGACAGTCGGGGGCCAAGGAAAAGATGAGTGACCCTGATGAGGGCAGAGGCAGTAAAGGCCTGTGGGATTTCCCAAGGTTAAACTGGGGACTGGAGGTGACAATGGCTTTGTGTTACATACTTGATTTTTTGCATGGATTCTCCTAAATACAGAATTTCTCTCCATTTCTGGCAGTAAAAGAATTCTGCTGAGGGGCTTCCCCAGTGGCGCAGTGGTTTAGAATCTGCCTGCCAATGCAGGGGACAAGGGTTTGAGCCCTGGTCTGGGGAGATCCCACATGCCGTGGAGCAACTAGGCCCGTGCACCACAACTACTGAGCCTGTGCGTCTGGAACCTGTGCTCCGCAACAAGAGAGGCAGCGACAGTGAGAAGCCCACACACCGCGATGAAGAGTGGCCCCCGCTTGCCACAACTAGAGAAAGCCCTCGCACAGAAACGAAGACCCAACACAGCCAAAAATAAATAAATAAATTAAAAAAAAAAAAAGAATTGTGCTGATTGATTGCTTTTTAAGTTCCCTGTTGGGGTGAAAGAAGATAAAGAGTAGGAGTAAGTCTGACTCGTGTCTGTAGATTTTTATTATAACAAGCGTCATTTATTTTTAAAACAGCAAAATCTGGCTTTAGCCTTGAAACAAACAAGTCTACCCAAGATTATCCATGTTAAAAAATAAATCTGAAGGGCTTCCCTGGTGGCGCAGTGGTTAAGAATCTGCCTGCCAATGCGGGGGACATGGGTTCAAGCCCTGGTACAGGAAGATCCAGCATGCTACGGAGCAACTAAGCCCATGTGCTACAACTACTGAGCCTGCGCTTTAGAGCCCATGAGCCACAACTACTGAAGCCCGTGCACCTAGAGCCTGTGCTCCACGACAAGAGAAGCCACTGCAATGAGAAGCCCACACACCGCAACAAAGAGTAGCCCCTGCTCGCCGCAACTAGAGAAGAAGCCTGTGCGCAGCAACAAAGACCCAATGCAGCCAAATTAATTAATTAATTAATTATTTTTTAAAAAAGTCAATACCACCAAAGTTTGAAAACCTGCTGCTGCCTTCTCTCTAATCTCTGCCAAGGGACCAGATTTCTCAGGTAGGTGAGTTAAGCATCCTGGCATCCCTTTCCCTGGAAGGCTGGAGATGCAAGGGTATATGCTGTATACTAGATGTTCTCAAAGCATGGTCTGGGGACCCCTGGAGTCTCTGAAATCCTTTTTGGGATTTCTGTGAGGTCAAAATTATTTTCATAATAACACTGAGATGTTATTTGCCTTTCTTACTTTTCTTGCCTCCCAAGGGTATGGTGGAGTTTTCCAGAGGCTACATGACATGTGATGATGTTATCACTCTGATAGAAACTGGAAGGTGTACTGTGTATTTTTGTGTTTTTAAATTTATCCATTTTAATTTATAATATAATTGTCAGTGGATATAACCCACTATTTAGGAGTGCAAAAGGTTCCTAAGATCAAAAATTTTAAGAACCATGATATAGACCAGGAGTCCCCAACCCCCAGGCCACAGACTGGTACCGGCCTGTGTCCTATTAGGCACCGGGCCGCACAGCAGGTGGTGAGAGGCGGGCTAGCAAGCAAAGCGTCATCTGCGGCTCCCCATCGCTCGCATTACTGCCTGAATCATCCCTCCCACCGCCTCACTGCCCCGGTCCGTGGGAAAATTGCCTTCCACAAGACTGGTCCCTGGTGCCAAAAAGGTTGGGGACTGCTGATATAGACCATCATTCTCAGTCACCATGCTAGAACACTAGCAAACACCATAATGTTATTCTTTTTGATGAGAGTTTGGAAACACCCAAGTATTCTAGATGAAGACTTCTTAAGGAGATTTAGGAAGCATTCTATCTGTCTATGTACATAATATTCAGATTACCTCAAAAGCTCTAAATAATTGTGCTGGGGGCTTGTATCCTCCCCTAATGTATGGGTATAGGTGCCCCAAATCCTTTTACTGGATATGCTAATTTGAAAAAAAAAAAGAGAAGGAAACATCTTTATCTGTGATTTGTCTGTCCTTTGACAATCATCTGAAATGGGATCATAATTCATGCATACAGCCTTCACCTTGAAAGGCAGTGCGTGCTATTTTTGGAATTCTTGAACTCTAAATGAACTGAAACCAAGAATCCATAGCCTACCAGGAATATAGGGCAATCAAGCAAGTTTTTCTGGTTTGGGAGTTTGTGTGTGTGCCTGTTTGTGCCCACGTGCGCACAAGAAATGAGGTCAATTTGGTCACCAGGCCAGTTGTTAGATATTTCTGAATCCCATTCTTCAAACACAGTCAGCACAGAGGTTGGTTCTCACATGTTGGTCCAGTGCCCATTTAGTCAGGAGCTTGAGATTCCATAAGGCCACTGCCTCCTAAGCAATGGAAGGGACCTTTATGTTTTTTTAATAAATTTATTTATTTATTTTTATTTATTTATTTTTGGCTGCATTGGGTCTTTGTTGCTATGTGCAGTCTTTCTCTATCTGCAGCAAAAGGGGGCTACTCTTCATTGCGGTGCGCAGGCTTCTCATTGCGGTAGCTTCTCTTTCCGCGGAGCACAGGCTCTGGGCGTGTGGGCTTCAGTAGTTGTGGCACGCGGGCTCAGTAGTTGTGACACACGGGCTTAGCTGCTCTGCGGCATGTGGGATCTTCCCAGACCAGGGCTCGAACCCGTGTCCCCTGCATTGGCAGGTGGATTCTTAACCACTGCGCCACCAGGGAAGTCCTGGCCTTTTGTTTTATACAAGCCCTCCTGAAGCTGGGCATGGAGCATGTGTGCCCATAAATATAATAGTTACAAGCCTAGACTCTTCCTTTGTCTCCCTCACACACATGGACTACGACAGAGTTGGAGATATATATCCTCAAACTAAAGTAACCAAACTACCAAATACAAGCATTTGTTTTGGATTCGACTGAACACAGATTAGATGAACATCTGTTATATGCAAGGCACTAAAGAAGGCGGCATGAGAATGGCAAGACAGACACTGTTCCTGTCCTCAAGGGTGGCAACAGCTGATCACCTGTCATTTTCCAGTTACTGCAACCCAGTATCCTCTGTCATCTATCAGAGTTAACTGACAGAGATAAGGACAGAAGGGTGACCTCCATTTCTCTCTTTTATTCTTATTAGGCTGAATTCATGAGGGACCTCCTGGGGCCATCTCTAGCCCCTTGCCCTGAAGGAAGAAATAATTTTCACAGAAATTTCATGTCTTAGAAACAGAAAGATTTTGTCTATTATAAAGAATCTTTAGCAAAGTAAAATGAACGACACTCAATATGTTCCATTTTAATCAACATATCTTTATAATCATGGACATTAAACCATTTTGTTTTTAGGAGAAATGAGTGATAAGATAATGGCAAGAGCTAGAATTCTAGCAACAGTTAGGAAGGCAAAACTGAGTCATTATTTTTATTTTTTTTTTTTGCGGTACTTGGGCGTCTCTCTGTTGTGGCCTCTCCCGTTGTGGAGCACAGGCTCCGGACGCGCAGGCTCAGCGGCCATGGCTCACGGGCCCAGCCGCTCCGTGGCATGTGGGATCCTCCCGGACCGGGGCACGAACCCATGACCCCTGCATCGGCAGGCGGACTCTCAACCACTGCGCTACCGGGGAAGCCCCTGAGTCATCTTTTTCATGCTAAGAGGAAGTGATGAGAAGGCACTAGTGTCAGAAACTGGCTTGGTGAGGATGCTTTCTCTCTGAGAGTCTGGAAGGGGATGAGCTCCGACCACTCACTGCCTCATTGTCTTGCCCACTGGTTCCTTTCTGGGCAAGGAAGAGAGTTGCATGTCCTGCAGAGTGTTGTAGGCATCTGACAGCAGTCCACGGGAGACAGCTGTTCTGGGGCCCAGGATGGGCAGTCTGTAGCGAGCGCCCTCTGGAGGACAGTGTAAGAAGGAAGGACAAGGGCTCCTTAGAGTCTATTTTTGAAATCTACTCAAAATAACCGATGTCACCAAAGACTTCTTTAACCTTATAAAACAGCTTCAAAGTTCACATGAGAATCCATTTTACTAGAACCATCTTAGCCCCCACCAACTTAAGCTTTTACAAATCTTGACAAAGAGGCCAGAAAGGAGTGCTTAGAAACATAACTCAAATATTTGGAGACATTGCCAATTAAATTATAAATGAAGGGGGCTTCCCTGGTGGTGCAGTGGTTGAGAATCTGCCTGCTAATGCAGGGGACACGGGTTCGAGCCCTGGTCTGGGAGGATTCCACATGCCACGGAGCAACTAGGCCCGTGAGCCACAACTACTGAGCCTGCGCATCTGGAGCCTGTGCTCCGCAACAAGAGAGGCCGCGACAGTGAGAGGCCCGCGCACCGCGATGAAGAGTGGCCCCCGCTTGCTGCAACTGGAGAAAGCCCTCACGCAGAAACGAAGACCCAACACAGCAAAAATAAATTAATTAATTAATAAAACAAAGGACTAGTCTTTGCCAAAGAATGACTGAAGTTTAAACAATATATATAAATGAAGATAAAGTGTGTCTGGAGTTGTAACACAGGTCAAAGGGAAAAGAGGATTCAATTCTCAGAAGACTTTTCAGGGACACGTATATGGTTCTGCTCTTCAAACAAACGTGATCTTATGAAAGGCTACAGTAGTGGAAAAGTACTTGTATTTCAAAAGGAACCTTCATTTTATGAAATAATTTATTTTAGTGCTCCTTAAAATCCTTACCATCCTGACCTCTTCTTTGAATATGAGTTTATATACAGGAAGTTGGTTAATATTCAACTCTTCGAAAATACTCATTGTGCAGGAGAGTAAATCAGTGCATAAAATAGCATCTTCCCATTGGAAATCACTGAATGACTAAGGGAACTGGAGTCCTGAATTCTCTGGAAGAAGCTCTTTAGTCCAGCTGAATGAGAGCTAAGAGATGTCACAAGATCACAAACCTAGGACCCAGTTCAGTGTCATTGCTGTAATGAAGAGGAAACAGGTCCAGGGTCGTGACGGACTGAGGACCAGAACCCAGATCTCCTTAATCCTAACCCTCTGTGCCATATCTCTGCACTGGGCCAGGTGGCAGACCTAAGTCAGGTGGTTAGCAGCTCTACCAATGTTTATGGACAAGAGCCTGTGAGTGTCATGGAACTCTGGACTCAAGGCCAAAGTCAAGATAAACAAATCCAGAAGAAACCCCATCACTTACTAGAGATAGGCTCTTTCCATTTACTTAGTTCTCACTAATAATTATTGAGGACATATCAAGTTTAGCTGAATCCAGAAAAATACTAGAGATTACTGTCATGATCAACAGAATGAGTTAGACAGTCACTGGCAGTGATGGTCGCTGGGATGAGTCAGCCATTTGGTATTTGCAGCATGTCCACAGGCTACGCAGCACAGGGATGTGTCTAAACTGTATAAACCAGTGGGGCTGGGGCAGTGTCAGCAGGTTTTCTGGGTCAGTCAAAGGTGAAGGCTGCTTGTACTGAGCGTCTGCCTCTTGCGGGTGGTGGTGGGCAAAATGCTTCTCTGGTTTTAAAGGTGGGAACACAGAGACCCAGATAGTTTCAACAATATGGCCAAACCTGTCTAGCAAGACTAGGATGTGAATGCAGGTCTCTTTGCTCCTAGGATTTTTCTTTGACCTCAGAGAGCACACACAAGAGCAAAGCTCAGCTCAGAAGTGTTGCGACTGGAATCAACTGCAGATCTACCAAGCTTCAGCTCCATAAGCACCCTCTCTGAAGTCTCACCTCCAACACTGCTGCCCTTGGATGAACTCTATGGGCAAGAACGAGGTCTGTCCAGAACATAATGTGCTGATCTATATGCACTGAGTCTAGTTCTTACACTGGTAATTGAAATACACTCCCAGGGTTAATAAATTGATGAAAGGCATCTTATCACACTGTCCTGTAGAATCAGATAATAAACATTCCTGCTGAGGGAAGGGCATGTAATTGTGTGTGAGTGTGTGTACACGTGTATGTGTGTTTTATCCTTTGTGAGGCAGACCTGAAAAAAATTCAGGTTTAAGGGAAACTCAGAATGAATGTATGGCTGGTACGGAGAACCCTGAAACCAACTGCACATGCCTGTCACCCAGTGTTCCCTAGGCTTCAGGAGAATGAAGTGGTTGCAGGCAGATGGGGGCAGCTTTCATTGGGAGGATGCTCTTAGCTCTTGGAAATTCAGTCCACTTAGGCTAAATGAAAGTCACGAGCGAGGCCAATATTTTTGGATACATAAGAAGGGATTGGGACTATAGCAGTCTTTCACTCCGCTAGAGTGGTTATCTCCTAACCTCAGCTGTCGCCTGAGTCTCTGGTCCTCCCTCTTGACATCCCTTCAAGATAACCCTTCTACCCGCAAATTTCCTTTCTTGATGTCCTCTCAGTTCAGTTCTGGCTCTAGCTTCTCTGCAACCTCCCAGGATAGAGATTAGACTTTCCCATCAGTACAAAGTGAACTTGATTTTCCTTACTGTGTGTATCAAATAAGAGAAAAACTGAAAGTGGCTTCAGTTAATCTGGGAGCAAATGAGAAGATGGACAAAGTTACTAAAGTGGCAGCCTATACTGCATTAAACCCTTGAATCATATCACTCCAAAGAATGACCCACCTCCTCTTTGCCAGCCCAGTGTTGGCTTTTCTAAAAGATAAGACTTAGGTCAATGCTGAAGCTGGAGATAGAGTCGTGCTGTCCTTTTTTTCCATACCAGCACGTGAACATAAGAATAGCACTGGGCAGCTGCCAGGGGAAGGCAGGTGTTCTAGGGAGCCTGTGGAAGGGAGGGCTCAGGGCTTGGCGAGGCCATGCCTTGGGTGTGGGGACACATTTCCCTTCCCAGCTTAACTGGTACTATCAAGACTGCCTGAGAAGGGAATTATCTACTTTGTGCCCCATCCCTACGGACATTCTTCAGCAAGTGGATTATGGGGCTCTTTAGAAAGAACGGGGCAGAGCCCTGTGGCGTGGAGAGGACCTGGGAAGGAACACACCATGGATAAATGCAAGTGAGGCCTGAAGAGGGGACAGGTAGGGCTGGAGTGAAGGGAGGGCTGTGGACCAGGCGAAACAGGTCAATAAGCAGTACGTGAAAGAGAAGGGATGGAGAATGGGAATTTGTTCAGAAAATTTAGAAGTTATCTGAGGTGTTACTCTGGGGGTGGTATGTCTCCCACTACAAGTACTCCAAAAGAAAGCAAACCTGTTGGGATGTCATCACGAGGACGTTTGGGTACAGTCTGGGCCTTTGGTGGATGAAGGCTCATCATTCTGACTGGAAGAAGCAAGAATACACATTAGTGATTTGGCTAGAGCTTGGTGGAAAGGAATGTGTCATTGTACATTTTAAAACACAGGTGGTCTCTCGACCCCAGCACCTGTTAACCTGGTGCTCAGACCACTTGGGAGCAGTGTGAGATGACTGGCCAAAGACCACCACTTCTGAAGCTCTTTTTACTTTAGTAGTATTTTCATGGATTTTGATAAAACCTTCATTTAAAAAAATGTTTTATTCCACTGTCAGATAATATATGGTCTGAAAATAGAAGGGATTAAGGAGAGAATCCTCCAGTTCTCAGAAAAAAAAGTAGCAACACTTCCAGATCAGTGCAAAACTGAGAATATTTTTTTAGAACCTTCCAATTCTTGAGAAAAATGTCTTGATCACTCCCTATTTCTCCTGGTGGCTGAGACTGTGGAAGTGACCTTCAACCAAAAGGTACATAAGCTCAAACCATTTCTACATTATTTTAAATTGTTTTATTTCTAAAGACTGACCAATCTGTAAACTTGTATGGGCAATCTACGTCTCTACATTCATTTCCTGGTATCTACTTCCACAGAGATTTTCCAGGATTATTTTTACTTTGCTACCAAAAATGTGGTCAGTCCAGTCAGTTAATTTTATTAAATTGCCATTGGAGGACTCACTGGGACTAAGAAAAAGAAAAATCCCTTCTATTACCCATTTTGGGCAAACAAGAAGGTGGTATTTGTAAGATTGAATACTTTAAGATCTGTCTACACTATAATTCAACAAATATATATCTATCTGCTCACACTTATTTCCTCTCTCCTTTCCTCTCTCCCTCCCCTTTTTCCTTCATTCCTTCCAGTCAACAAACATCATTTAATTCCTACAATGGCTATAATTAAAGTCACTTTAAAAATTATTTCAGGAAGGACAATTCCAATCTGCTTATATATGTAGTGAGGTTTAAAAACTGTGAGGACAGATTTTATAAGCTACAAACAGAACGAGGACCTGACTTTAGAGTCACACTAGCTAAATCTCAAACAGAAGTAGGACGTTGTCCTTCACTACACTGAAAAAAAAAAGACCAATCTAATGATACTTCTGTCTGGAATTGACATGATTTTAGGATTGGTTCAAACTTCGGTCTTAGCTTTAAAGGAATAAGAGCTTGTTTTAAAAAAAAACACACACAATTAATGACTCAGGATTTGAGACTTTCTTTAAAGTACCAAACTTGCAAGATAAATAAATTGGAACAAAACATTTCAAAAGTCTCTTTCATAGAAGAGTACCTTTGGCTCAGAAATTCCAGTTTTCCATTTAAAGTCTGTAAGGAATATTTTTTAGAATGACTTTTACTGTGATCCAGTATAAGAGCACTTAAAAAGTATAGAGTTGGGGGTGGTAAATGTCACTAGTGCTGGAGTCTGCATTGCTCAAATACACATTTGTTCCACGGCCCTGTCTGCTTGGGCCAGGACGTGGTTTTGGTGTATCTGAGTCTATATTTTAGTTTGTACAAATGGCTCTGAGCTCATACAGGGAAATATAACAACTCCTGCTGTCATCTAAGGTTACAAAAAGACCTATTTATTTTCCCACGTTACTGCTCTCTGTAGAGGAAACAAATTAAAGGTTGCCATTAGATCACATATAACTTTTTTGTTTAATCATATGGAAGGGTGACTGTATGTTTACATTTCAACCATCTACTGCAAGGCAAGTCCACCTATCTTGGTGCCTTATCCGGGGTGACTCCACATTTTGAGTTTTTTAATAAAGTGAAAACTTAGTCCTTCTTCCCGGTCTGGTAGTTAAATGCAGAAAAAACCCTGAAATCCAACTAATCCAACTTTGACTGGATTTTATTTTTGATATACTTGATCTTGATAAGAAAGCAGCAAATGACAACAAACTGATAACAGTAATTTTAGTCAATATGAAGTAGCAGAGGCTTAGACTCAAGAAAATTTATGTGCAATCTCCCATACTTTATGAATTAGATATGTCATCCACATGGAGAATTTGTATTTAGTTCTGCCTAAATTATTGAAGGTATCTCCTATCCTATGCCTTGTACTATTCTTATGAAGGTAGAAAGGAAGATTATAGTTTCTACAGTAGTTTCCATAGCTGTTCAGGCAAAGAGGTTAAAAACAACTTTTTTTGTCTAACTATGTACTATAACCAGAAAATGAAACCACTCAAGAAGCTCATCCCTAAAGCATTTACTTATTGTATTTTAAGCATTTTACTTACTGTATTTCTCAATCCACAACCGATATAACCAGATACAAAGCTGTGTCCTAATTTAAATCTTTGATTTACCTATGACTCATAGTATTTGCTATGGATAGTTGCTAAAGGATAGTTTCAGATCATCTGGGATTATCATAGTTCTTGGTGGCACCAATGGAAGAAAGTCCCATGTAGAACAATGCCCCAAACTGCATTCTAATTTAAAGAAATAACATACTGCCTTAGCAAACTCAAGTTGTATTTAATATGAGTCATTAATAAATCATTTTCTGCTTTCTCCTTTCTCTTGTTAAATTTATTCCTAAGTATTTTACTTTTTTGATGCTTTTATAAATGGAATTGTTTTCTTAATTTCAGTTTTGGATTGTCCACTGTGAATATGTAGGAATCAAATTATTTTCTGTATATTGATCTTGTGTCTTGTGACTCTGCCGTACTCATTTATTAGCTCTAGTAGATTTTTTATGGATCCCTTAGGACTTTCTATATATAAAATTACATCAACTGCAAATAGAGTTTTATCTTTTCCTTTCTAATCAGGATACCTTTAATTTCTTTTTCTTGCCTTAACTGTCCTGACTAGAACGTACAGTACAATGGTGAACAGCAGTGGCAAGAGCACACATCCTGGTCTTGTCCCTGGTCTTAGGGGAAAACATCCAGTCTTTCCTCACTAAGTCCGTTGTTAGCTGTGGGTTTTTTGTAGACACCCTATATCAAGTTGAGGAAGTCCCTTCTATTTTTAGGAGTCTTTTTATACTTTCCCAGTATCTCCGCTCAACCCCTTGCAGAGAATGGAGGGGTCTCAGTGACAACAGTAGACAGACAGCCCCTCCTCTCCCCAGTCCCCGCCCCAGAAGGAAGGGGAGCTGTTACTGCACATAGTGAGACAAGGGTATTTCACGCTCATTTTCTATCATTTCCCACCAGGGTCTGTGAGCCCCGGTTTCGACAATGGTAGGGAAGGGCCCTTGGGCACTTTTGTGTCTGAGGCCCTTCCTCTGGGCATCTACAGGAATGGTAAAACCACGGTGTGTGCTTCCACTTGGGGCAGGTTTGGGCAAGAGTAAAGGTCAGAAAAGAGGTATTGAGAAAGAGAACAGGTGTCAAGGTCCCAAGTGAGCCAGCTGGCCAGGGCCCGCTTAGGCCTGGGGTCAGGGCATTCTAAATGTGGACACAGTGATTCCAGGAATGAGACCAGGAGAAATCCCAATCCCAGCTTCTCAGATCCCAGTCAATGCTAATATTGAACACTGTGATCCTAATTTTGCAGAACATGAACAGAGGTCGGAACATCCAGGTACACCTTTGATGGTAGCTTCAGTTAAATTTCCAAATCCCACATGACAACCCAGAGAAGTGCTTGCTGGTTGGAAGCAGTTTTGCCATGAACTCATCAAAGGAGCCTCTCTCATGTCTCCTGTTTGTCTTCCATTCCTTGTCCTTCCTCTTTCTGTACATCTAGCCCCACCTTCCTCCCCGAGTCAAAGGAGAATCACAGGCTATTAGAATTGGAGAGACTCTTCCCAAACCCTAACCTAACCGTTTAGCTAAATTAACCTTCCACCCAGCCTGGTGCTCGCTCTGAAGGCCCCTAACCTTACCCCCTAAACTGACCCAAGTCTTGGCTCCAACATGTACAGCACCCCCCAAAACACGCCTCTTTCTTCAGCAGCTCTGATGGCAGAGCTACGTCATTGTGGAGCCCACATCCCTCTGATAGCCTTTCTTTTCCTAAAACTCCCCCCACCCGCCATCCCCCCCACCAGTTACAAACGACCCCTATAGTCAGGAAGAACCAGAGAACCTCTCCCCAGCTCCACCGCCACTGTGGTCGTGTCTGAATTTATGACAAACCCCAAGATGAAGCTGCTTGTTTCATGGTTGTGATGCTGGAGTGTTGTGCTTGAGACAAGGTAAGGGGGAGAAGAGGCTCCACAGCCTCCGGCACCTCTGTAAGGTGCAGTTACCCGACGAGCGCAAAGCAGCATGGCTCATCTCGTCTCTTCCCCTCTGGCCCAAGCTGCCTTGGTTCATTTATCATTTGGTTTGTTGCAAATGGGGAGATTTACCATATCGTGTCAGGAGACGGTGTTCCCAGGACCAGCAGCTGCTCATCTGCAGCCCTTCCTGCGAGGCCCCGTCACTGTCTCTCTGCCGGGCTTTGGTGGGGAAGGGGTAGAGCTGTGCCCTGGGGATGCTCACGCCCATGTCTGCCATCCTCCACGACTACCGTTTTCATTTCTCGACACGTGGAGCACAGCTGCTTGTTTCTGATCAGCGTGGGGTCTCTCCGGTTCCTCCCGGCCTGTGCGGAGAGAGAGAGAGACAGAGAGGTGAGGAAATGGTGGGGAATCTGGGGCAGCAAAGAAGTGGGTAAGGGGTGGAGGGGTGAGAGAAGTAACCGTTATTTCTTCCATGAAAAGAGGTGGACACTTCGGTCTCAGCCCCATCTCGGTGGATATGAAACCCAGGCTTGTCTGTGGCTGGTATATTCAGAGAGGGTTTAGGCAGGAGGGGTTGACCCACAGACTAAATGGTGACCTCGGGCCCCTGCGTGCAGTGGAACAGGAATAAGACAGCTGGCAGCGGGGGTGGGGCTGGGGGCTGAAATCCAGCTAGGTCCCTCTTTCGAACCCGAGCACGCAGTCTGAGGGGCTGAGCTCTCTCGTGGGTGACACACTTCCTACATTTCATACAAAAGTTCCACCATCTGGACTAGTTGAAGACCTCTGACAGCCTGAGAAAAATGAATAGGAGACTTCTGCAAACCTCCCTTCTCTGGTCCCTCTGAAATCCTACCCTCTTTTCTCACGCCTTCACTTTGGCCTGACATCAGCTCTCAAGCCTGCACTGCCCAGCACCACGTGGCCCTTCTGCACCTCCCCGGAGCCGCCGATCAAGCCCTAGGCAGAACTGGAGCTGGTGTGTGGGTCCTGAGCCCGCTCCTTCCCCTAGAGGAGGGAGGCAAAGAAACCACCAGTACAGGGAGTGTGGGGCACCCCTTCTGCTCACTGGAACCCCTGCTTCCTTTCTGACTCCACTTCTGCCAAAGGGTGGAAGAGTGGGCTTCGGGGCATTTCCACCTGAAACACAGGCTTCTCATTCGCATGACTGATGACAGCTTGGTTAGGGAGCAAATGGCAGCTTGAGGTTAACATTCCGTCTGGGGATTCTCTTACCCTTCCCCATCCACACTGACACCAGAGTCGTGAGATAGGTTCTCAGGAAGCATAGAATTCAGGGGAGAGGAGGGCCGACAGGGACAAGCAGACAGTCACTAGGAACTGAAGTCTCCTCTTTCATGAGGTCGAGTTGGTGACCTAGCACTGCAGGTGTGCACGCCTGTGCCCTGATCTGCTCCTGGGCTGCCCTGTGGGGTGTGTGCAACAGGAAAGGAGGAATATACCTGTGCAGCGTGGGGAGTGAGTGCCTCGGCTGTGCTCCTAAGGTGACTTTTGCTGGATTGTCTCGTAAGAGACACATGGCGCTTGGGTGCGGCATTATTGGGGATCGAGGACTGTAAACGATGTACCACGTTGGATTCTTTTGACAAATATTTAAAATACATTTCATATTTACAGGCCATTTTCAAAGAATCAACTCAGTATCCCCACACTGTGGGCTGGCACGGGAAAGCATGAGTGGGAACGGCTAGATTTATCATTCAGCAACAAACCTTCTTTGTGAGGCCACCACGTAGAGGGCGCTGTGATGGAGTCACAAAGGTGAATAAGAAGGTTTCTGGCCCAAAGGAAGGCCAGGGAAGAATGCAGACTTATGTATTTGTCCATTCGCTACGTACTGGGGACACCAAGATAAAGACACAGCTTCTGACTGCAAGCTGCTCACCACCCAGCAGCCTGGGTACCAAGAGGTGTGCTGGTGTTGAAGGGCAGAAATATACTGAGGCCACAGGGGAGCAGAAGGGAGGCGCTGAGCTCATCTGCTGGGAGTGGGGCGTCAAGGAAAGGGTCTGAGGAAGGTTGAAAGGACAGGCGGTGCTCAGGTAGGTGTTGGAGGTGGTGAGCAAGGAGGGGGGTGGCATTCCAACCTAGGAACACTGTGCAACAGCATGGAAGAAAGACCTGGCCAACCTGCTTCAGGTAAGTGAGGACAGCCTGGAACGGCCAGTTGTCTGTGGGAGGAGGGAGGAGGGAGGAGGGAGGCTGGAGAGGACCCCCACCCCCACCCCGCCCACCATCAAGCCCATCAAGCCCCCCTTCCCACCCCCCGGGGATGACTCCTTTACTCTTCTGGGCCGATTCAACCTCCTACCTTATCTTCCCTGTACCCTGGGGGTGGGATCTCCTGGGGCCCAGGCGTTTCCCACTGTCCCTCACATCTTTCAGTTCTGAGACTAAGACACTGGTCTGAAATTGCGATTCAAGGTTGGATGTGCCAGGTATCACTGAAGAAGCGAGGATGCTTCTGGGCCTTCAGCAAAGAGAGCGACTGCACCCCACGTGAGGAATCAGGAAGGGCTTCCGGAATTGGCATCTTTGCTTGGTCTGAAAGGATGAGGAAGGCCTGGATGCTGGAGGTGGGGTGGGAAGGTTCTCAGGCAGGTTTGGTTTTAGTCGAGTTAGAAGCGGATGCTTGTCTTTCTTGCAGTTGGTTCTGCCACCTTTTCCGGACTTCTGGTTTCTGCATAAGAATACACCAGACCCGACAGGGATTGGAATCACGGGGTTCATGGCAAACCAAGCAACAGACACGCATGGAGCACGGCAGGAGCTTGCTAGGTGAATGACAGCTGAAACTGTGACTCCAGAGTCCCCCACCACGGGCTTCCCTGGTGGCGCAGTGGTTGAGAGTCCGCCTGCCTATGCAGGGGATGCGGGTTCATGCCCCGGTCTGGGAAGATCCCACATGCTGCGGAGCAGCTGGGCCCGTGAGCCATGGCCGCTGAGCCTGTGCGTCCAGAGCCTGTGCTCCGCAACGGAAGAGGCCACAACAGTGAGAGGCCCGCGTACCGCAAAAAACCCCACAAAAAACAGAGTCCCCCACCACGATGACTGTCATCCTTTGGAATCTGAGGGGAAAAATGCCATATATGTTGCCCTGTCTGGCCTTGTTAACTCCTTACCCTTTATGATATAGCTTAGATGTTTCTTTCTCAGAAAATCTTTCTCCTGACCCCCTTACCTGGGTGCCTGCCTCTCGGGTTCCATCACAGATTTGGTATAACTCTTGTTGCAATTTGTACTGTTATTCTTTTTTTTTTTTTTAATGTGTTTGTTTCCTCCACCAGGCTGAGAGTTCTTTAAGAGCAAGAACGTATCTCACACATCTTTGGATGTATAAGAGGCTGACTTCCAATTTTCTCACCACCGAGAACTCTTTTCATTATTTCTTTCTGCTTGGCTCAAGTTTTGAAAGCTTGTGATCTCACCACAGGAACTACCCTGCGTACTCCTAAGTCCTTCTCCTGTTTATGTTGATGAAACATGTATAACGGCAAGTACAAGTTTCCAAGGGAAGTACTGATGACCACCACTGACCCGAAATAGGACAGGAATCTAGAACCCATCTCGGAATCGGCACACAGTAGGCATTCAACACATGTTGGCTGAATGAATGAATCAGTGTAAGCGTTTTAAGCTATCAGGTATAAACAGAGACATGACCAGCACACATGTATGTCCATAAATCCCTACAAGACACACATGTGTGAAGATCACTATTATAACAGCACTGTGCTCAGGGAAACATTACAGGACATTTGTGTGCAACAGATTCATCTGTACCAAATTCTTAGGAAACGCAGAGGCTGGAAGCAAATTGCTCGGCTCCAGACCTGGTGCTGAGAGACTTGGCCGTGGTCAGTCATAGAAACGCCCTGGGCCTCCCATCCCCCTGGTGCTGCTGGTTTCTGCAGCCAATAGGCCAGAGGCCAACTCTAATCCTGCCCACGCTGTCTATGTAGAGAAGAAAAAGTCTTTGATGTGTGGCTTCAGTCACCTCTGCCAGGAAAGTGGCAGTGACTCCACCTGAGGCTCGCTGTCAGCCAAAGCCTCATCCCTGAGGAGAGCCACTGCATCCCTCCTCACTTGGAGAGGCGGGCGAGGGCCCTGGGGCTGTCTGTGCAATGTGTTTGTTAGGCAGCCGTGATGGGCAATCCTGCCTGGCAGGTCTACAAAGCAGCCGACGCAGACAGTTTGGGATTCTGTGTTCTCCCTGGGCCTCAGCTTCCTTCCTCAGCCCTGAAACCAAGGCCTTTTCCTTCTGCAGCACGTCCTTCTCACCCCCGGTTTCCCTCGGGCCCGCTCAGCACACTAGCAGGAATGGAGAGTGAACTGGCCAGTGGTTCTGAGCACAGGCCCCCCAGCTGTATCATCTGTACAGTCAGAGCCACCAAGAAAGGAGGCTCGGAAATGTACATGGGGTTCTCGTTTCCCAAGCAGCTGTCCCCAGGAGAGCAGATGGCAGTGTGACAGGAGAGCCAGGCCAAGGCATGATGCAGAGCTCAGCTGGGCCCCAGAAGCCGAAGCCTGCTCTTCACACTTCACACCTGGAAACACCTTCGTATCTGAGCTCAGTGTCTGCTCAGGTGCCTAAGCTCCGGCTCGTGGCCCAAGTCCTTGGCCTCCTTGAATCTTTGGGAAAGAAACAGAATTGTTTCTCCCTCTCCCTCCCTCTTCCTCTCCTCTGTTTCTCTCTCTCTCTCTCACACACACACACCTGTCCACATAACAAAAACTGAAAAATGGAAACACCAGGTGGCAATTTTAAAAATAGTCACCACAAGCATGAGTCGAGGGGCACCAACAAATGTGCCTCTGATCTCGCCCAAGGCCTCTGCTCCTTTCCTCCTTCCCTCTCCTGCCTTAACTGGGAGGCACCTCATCAGTCACCTACTTCAACTCTTTCATTGAACACAGTGAGGAAACTGGCCCAGAAAGGTCCAGTAGCACATACACTTAGTTTCCATCAGCCAGAAAGTTCTTTGGATAAAGGGTCAAGGAAAGACTACCTTTTCTCAGGAAGAGAGTGGACTCTTAGGGTCCATATCAGGACAGAATGATTCCTGTATCCCTTAGGATCCAAAAAGTAGTGGTCAGAGAACTATTTTCAATATTCAAACAAAGAAAACCCTATCATAATTACACATTTTCCTGCTCTCTGACAATACCAAGCATCTCAATTAAAGAACAAAGCTGAACACAGTTTTAAAAATACTCTTACTGGGCTTCCCTGGTGGCACAGTGGTTGAGAGTCCGCCTGCCGATGCTAGGGGACGCGGGTTCGTGCCCCTGTCCGGGAGGATCCCACATGCCGTGGAGCGGCAGGGCCCGTGAGTCATGGCCGCTGAGCCTGCGCGTCCGGAGCCTGTGCTCCACAACGGGAGAGGCCGCAACAGTGAGCGTACCACAAAAAAAAAAAAAAAAAAAAATACTCTTACTGTTCACTAGGAAAAATTTCAAACATACACGAAATGGTCGACAGCCATGTACTTCCCATCCAGACTTGTTAAACTTGGTTTTTATTTCATTATTTATATCATTATTTACACTTAGATCATTATTTCAGATCAGTGGTATTCATCAGTACTTCCCTTTAAACGTTGTACTTGTTGTATGTGTTTCATCAACAGGAGAAGGGATGGGGAGTATATGAGGATGTTTCCCTGGTGGTCATGAATTTTCAAAAACTGAGAGTCAATGAGAGAAAAATAATAGAGTTCTCAGTGGTGAGAAAACCAGAAGTCGCCTCCTATATGTGTTCCCAGCCACATCTCCACTGCACAGTGTTGTCACCCAGGGCTTTTTGTCACAGATCTGCCCAAAGCAACATAAACAATGCTCTCCTCTTTCCCCTGACTCGTTAAGACTGAAACAACATAGCCAGTCAAGGAGAGTAGCCGGGGCTGGGGGCAGGAATGGAGGGAGTGGGGGGAACTTTATTCTCCTCAAAGAATTGGTCACAGCCAACCCTGCAAGCAGGCAAAGGGGCTCCAGGGGCTCCCGCTGCAGTTCCCCGATCAGCCCCACGTCAGCTCTGCCTGTCCATGAGCTCTAAGTCACCTCCTGACCTCAAGTATCCAATTATCATGGTTCGCTTTCTTCTTTCACGGCATGCGGAGGAGTCCTTTGTCAAGGCCTGGAAAACACAGGTGAAAGCCCTGCCTAGTAAAGAAGCTGCTCCACAGGTGTTTAAATGGGGAAGTGTTTAGGCCTCATTTCTCTGTCTGCATTTTCTGTTTTTCTTCTTTGGTAGCTCCGACTCTCCTCTTCTGTTTCCTTTTTGGTGTCTGTTGTCCTCTGACCTCTCTGTGTGTCTCTGGCTTCTGCTGTCTTGATGTTTGTCTCCCTCTCCCTGTCTTTCTGTCTCTGAGCCTCTGTTTCTTCTCTGTCTCTCTGGCTGTTCACTAAGGCATCGTGCTCCAGTCACACAGAGACTCGCCCCTGCCCTGGGAGGGCTCCTGGGCAGGACAGAAAGGCCATTTGGAATGTGGATGTTCGAAGTTCTGCCTTTTGACCTGTGATGGTGAGGAGGACAGGCGCCAGGTGGCAGGACCTTTGCACCTGTGCCCTGGGGCCTGGACCTCTAGTTGGCTGCGGGGCTACCACAGCTTCCTGACAGGTCCCTGATTTGGAGGAGTAGAAAGAGATAAGAGATAGTGCATTCCACTCCCACAAGGTACAGCACAGTTTCTCTCTAGAAAGGAGCAGCGCACACATGCAGGCCTCAAGCTCGCAGCCGACTCTGGGGGCTGGATTCAGATCTGAGGAGGTCTGTGTGGCAGGCAAGGATCTGACGTGAGGTAGCTGCCAGGTGCCCCAATGGAACAGGGATCCCAGGTCCCTATGAAGGGTGGCAGAATATGCCTCCCCCAAATCTGCCACTTTGGCCTCAACATCATTTTGAGCTAAGACACTTGGAAGAAACAGCAGGTGCAAGAAGGGTGCCTGACCCTCCTCCTTTTCTTCTGAAAATCAGGAGAAAAAACCCCAAATGGGAGATGTCCTAATACCAGGAAGAAAGCATCATTCTTATCTTCAAGGACAAGAAGTTGAAGCCAAGAGAATTCTGTACGAACAGACCTTTTCAAAATAATTCTTATCCTCCTTTAGCCTCCCCACAGTTTAGTTACTTTTCCACACTTGCCCCTCTTTTTTTAACCTACTATAAAAACATTCAGGTTTTGCCACTTTGGTTCTTCATTTCCTTATAAAGCGTCCTGTGTCACACAAAACTTCTAGTAAATAAATTTACATGCTTTTCTCCTGTTACTCTGTCAATTTAATTCTCAGGCCCAGCCCCAAACCCTAAGACAGCAAAGGTACAGTAAACTTTTGTCTCCCCTACGCCTGTTAGCCCTTCCAATCAGCAAGAGCGACTCTCTCTCTCTCTCCTTCTCTGGTGGAGGGTCAGCCCCCGACAGGGTGATGGTGAGGGTTAGGGGTTCATGAGGTACCTGGGTCTCCTGTCCCAGCAGGAGCGAGGGACTTGCGACCTCCTGGGTCCGCCTAGAGACCATTCTCCGCGGGCCCAGCCTATTGGCCAGGCCACGGAAGCTGTTGCTCTTGGCTTCCATCTAGTGGCCGCATGTGAGTATTGCATCCGTGAAATTCTAAGCTCCGCTGAAGTGGGTGCCTCTCGCTCGACCCGCTCATTAGAGACGCTTTCCTCCCCGGCCTCAGAACCTCAGTGCCCAGGATGGCACGGTGTACTGAGACCCAGAACAGACCCGGACGAGGAGGCGCTCGGTAGCAGGGGAGAGCCTGTCTCAGTAAGAAGTTCAGAGACGAGTGACTAGTAGGCTTCTTGCTGGCTCTGCAGCAACAGAGGGGTCAGCCCTGTCTCCGCCCAGGCCCCTCCGTGCATTTCTTACCTACTTGCCCGTCCAGTCTAGGGTGTTAGGGGGATTCGTGCTTGACTCTCAAGCACAGCCCTGACCCACTTCTGTGCTTGTGAACCGGGAACGTTCGCACGTCCCCTCTGTGCCCGGGCGGGGTCCACCCCTCTCCTTAGGTCCCTCCCACTTCAGCCAGTGCTCCTGCCGGCCTGATTCCTTGATGTTCTGCCCGCCCGCTGTCTCCCTGTCTCTGCTCCCCCGGCTGTTCCTCCGCTTGTGGAAAGAATATCTTCCAGATCCAGTGCAGATGCCGCTTCCTCTTGAATCATTCCCTCGCCCCATCTCCGCTCGCCCCGCCCCCAGCCCGCAGGTGACCTTTCCTCCCACCTCCTCTCGCCAGGACTTTGCCCCTCTCTCTCTTATTCCGCGGTTGCGTACCTGGCCGTCCGCGCACTCATTTGTGTGGGTGGCATCTGACTTATTCTGTGTCTGCGTTCAGCCAAGCGACACGAGGACTCTGTAAGCGTTTATCCTCTGAGAGGGGGGCTCGTCCCCACCGCGGCTCACCCTTGGCTCTGGCTGCGAGTGGGCAATGCGCCGGCTGCTCTCGGAACGCCGCTTCGCGCGCTGCCTTCAGTGGCCCTGGCTGTGTGACTTGTGATCTTTCGGGTGGAGAAACTGCTCTCATCCCCGAGAGTCCTCTGTCTGCCTCCACCTGGGGCAGATGCTCGCTGCACAAACATCCCTGATGGGGGTACCCCCCCGCCGCCCCCTGGAGCGCAGCGTCCCGGAGTGTCGCTCGGCAGCCAGTCGTGGCAGGTTTCCGTGAGGTGAAGGGGAGATCAGGAGCTCTTAACGCGAAATTCCATGGGTTTAGGGGTTTGTAGGTGGGAGACAGAGGGGTTCATGGTGGGTGGGGTAGGGGGTTAGAGACTGCAGAAAAGGGTTCGTTCTGGACACAGGCTAGAAGCAGTCTCTGAAGGTCTCAGGGAAGATCCCTCAATATGAATTTTTGGGGGTTCCCTTTTTGATGATTCTAACCTGATTCTTAGTTCTAGTAGACGGAGCCCTAAGACACTCAAGACAGGGTGCAGGAGAGGGGTTCATTCACGTCTTTCAACAAATCTCTGTTAAACACTGACGATGATCCAGACTCAGGGCTGTGTTAAGGAGATAGGAAATGGCTCTGTATCCAAATTTTCTGTCATTCTAGAACTAGCTATGGTGTTTTTTTCCTTTTTTTAAATTTTTATTTTGGCTGCACTGGGTCTTCGTCGTGCTGCGTGGGCTCCAGAGTGCGAGTTCAGTAGTTGCAGCGCACGGGGCTTAGTTGCCTGCAGCGGCATGTGGGATCTTAGCTCCCCGACCAGGGCTCGAACCCACGTCCCCTGCGTTGGAAGGCGGATTCCCAACCACTGGACCACCAGGAAAGTCCCAGGTTTCTTTTCAATTAAAAAAAAAAAATTGAGTACCTTAGATAAGACATCTGGAACTTGGAACAAAATTGGCAAATTCATAGCCTTCTTGGATGAAACCAGAAAAGTGGCAGAGGAATGAGGATATCTGAGGAATCAAAACAAGAGCAAGTTAGAACCGTAGTCTCTGGTTTGAAGAACCAGGCTCTTGGCTGTTTCAGAGAGGACCCTAGGGACACCCAAGGAGTTGCTCCCCACTCCGATCCTGGAGGGCCCAGGTCATTTTGGAGCTGCCACAAGATTTTCCCTCTTTAGTCACTCTGGCTTCTCTGTCCCTTTGGTTTTGAACTAACCAATGCCAGTTCTAGATTGTCAGAGAGTGTGCAAACAAGGCAAGAAAATAATTGTTCAGAAAAGCAGATGGATATTTAATTGATATTTAACAAAAGCAGTCCTCTCCTGCCTGCCCTGCTTTCTCAGTTTCTGTCCCTGCAACCTGAAACAATCCATCCATTTCCTCCCATGAAACATCTCCTTCCAACTACACTTTTCCCCTGGAACATTCCTTCTTTCCAGGCAGAAGGTGAGGCAGAGATGCTGCAGAGATAACATCAGTTCTCTTCCCAGGGTGACCCGCCCTGCTGGCTGCTGTGGTGCATTTTATTACAGCGTAAGGAGCCAGGGTGTGCAGGGGGCCTGAGCATTGTAAACAGCCTGTGTGTACAGCCCTGTGCCTGGCCCGGCCTCCCTAGAAATGGAAACTCACTCGGAACGCTGGTAGTTCTGCCAACAACATCTCTCCTCTCTTATGAGGAAAGATTTCACTGTCCCTTGTTCATTTATAACAAAGGCATGCGCAGGGAGTTTGGGGTCCATGAGGCATTTATTGTTTTATTTCTCCCACTATTTTCCTGGGCCCTGGGAGAGTGGGGAGGCAGGTCTGACCCAGGTCTGACTTCACTGCCTTTGTCTTTGATATGTGAACAGTTGGCCTTGGACTTGACACCCAAATGCTGACCAGGAGAGACCAGAGGCCACTTTGGAACTGCTTCAGCACACAATAATCTCAAACAAACAGGACCCGGTGTGACCTGAGGGCTTTTGAGACTGATGATGGGTGAGGCTCAGCACAGTCAGGCCAACCTGAGAGAGACCTCCTGGAAGGAAGTGGTCTGTAGGCAGTGATCTTCAGACCCAGGTCTCACCTCCTCCAAGCCTGTAGGTGTGTTTCCAGAGCTCACAATTAGGGGTGCTCTGAGCACATTTCGCTAAATGTTCCTTTCTCTTTTTCAGACTGTTCTGTGTTGGAATTGCCTGTCCAAAGCCAGGTAATACTTAAAGCACATTCAAAACTTTCTAACCAAGTTCTCAAAAAAGGGTTTTGCCGAAAATAAACAGCTTGGAACTCAGAGCTTTGGCCACATGAAGAGTTTCCAATCCTTAGGAACTGTTGATACTTAAAGCATCCTTCCAAAAGACTTTCCATTTCTATCTTGTCCTTCTGAAAGCTCAGGGCACCTCACAGGTGCTGTCCAGTCGTCTTAGAATTCTTGCGAGGTAGATAAGCGCCATGTCTCTTAACAAGAGTTGAGATTGCTGCCCAAATCCTCCCAGTACAGACATGAGTAGAGCTTCAGCAGACCATGTGAGGTAATTTCTCCTTGCAACTAGCTCAAGGCATGTCTGGCTGCAGGAAAAACTGCTCTTTCCCTTCTCAGCTGGCCGTCCCCTCTGACACTCGGGGGTCTGGCTGTGAAAGCAAGTTCTGAGGGTGATCAGTTGTGCTCTGGGCCTGCCTTTTTCAAGCCCCCCACCCTGAGTCCCTTCCCCACCCCCTACCAGAGGTTTGTACAATCAAGGAAAAAGGGAGCTGGGGGTGAGAGAGCCACGCATAGGGATGCTTTGCTCCTGGCTGCAGGGGCAAGTCTAAGGGGCTGGGGTGGGATGGGATAGTGGAGTGTTACCCTATTTCGATGTCAGACACGAGCCATTTCACATGAAAATCCAGATTTCTGCTATTGTTGGAAAACCCAGCAGATCTGGCCACTGGGGTCACATACCTGCAGGCAGTCCCAATCCTGAAGGGAGGTGATCTCCCCTTCACTACAGTTCCCTTTGGCCAGCTCTATTCATTTATGCCGACCATCTGACTACCGCTGTTAGGTGAGTTTGTACCCTGCCTCCAATTAAAAGGTGCTAAATTGTCATTACTCATGGTGATCCTTGAACTGCTAACAACTCTTAATAAGAGCTATGTTACCTGTGTTTTTATTTAGTAAATAAGCCTTTGGGTTTATTCAATCTCCGATTGCCTGCTTTATACTAAGACATTAGCTAGAGTTTAGATATATTCAAAGTTATGGAAAAAAAGAAAAACCCAGAATCGAGCAACAAACATTTCATAGGTGCTCTGAAAATACACAAAATTGTTTAGCTGCTTACTAAGAATGTGGTGTTTTACACTGCAGCAGACAAAGCAAAGGTACATGTTATTGAAGTGGGGATGTGGAGGGGATATACCTCATGGAGAGTCATTTATCCATGGGCAGGAGGGTACGTGACAGTTACCAACAGGAGGAAGGACTGTTTTCAGAGAGCGTAATCTTTCTAGCTTTCACACTCACCCTTCCTTTCATCCCCCTTGGGGTATATCACTACACCTGGGGATCAAAAAGGGGGGAGGAATGAGGAAACCCACTTATTTCAAGTGGCAGCTCCCTACACACGAATTTCCCCAATTTTGAAAAATAGAAACGTGTTCCATAGCAGTTAGTTTGAAAGGGCAGGACTGGTGAGATTGGAGGAGATTGTCTCAAAGTTTAAATATAGGAAGTTGCTACTCTGTAAAGACAGGAATTTATGGTTCTAGACTTTTGATGGTTAAAATTTTAAAACTTCAAGCTAAAGCAGGGAGAAAAGATGATGAAGAGGACAGAAGTCTTTTGAAAGGCAGTGTCCATGGGCAAAATTCTCTTGCATTGTTAAGTGGTGGTGGTACAGAGGGAGGTTAATTGAGGTCTTATCTCCTCCAGCCAGGCCAATTCTCAGGGCTCACTTTTGTCTTAGAAACCCTGGCCCTTTCTGGGTTTTGAGCACCTGACTAATGTCTCTCAACTGATCAGCTGTTCCCCTCAGATGACTGCCCTTAACCCTTAAGAAATCATCTTCCATGAGACCTTGCTTGAAACCTTTGCCCTCAGCGGCTGAGCTATTACCTTTTCGGGAGGCTGAGCGCTAATGGCTTGTTTATGAGGCTGGCCTCACTAAACCACGGAATCTTGTCAAATCTTGGAACAGAAACCTGGAAGGAAATGGAAAGAGATCATTTTGCAGGGTTTTTTGCACTTGGCTATTTCCATCATTAGGATGATCAAAGTAAGCTAATAGCAGCTACACAGCAGTCAACACTTTACAAAGCATTTTTATGTTTCATATTTGACCCTGTTGACTCTCCCATTAAGTAGCCAAGAGGAAATAGTGTTATCTCCATTTTACAGATGAAGAAATCAAAGCTTAGACAGTGTGATTTGCTGAGTCACACAGCTAGTGAGTGGATTTAGGTTTTCTGACTTTTGTGTCCACTACATCTTGTATTCTACTATATCCCTTTGCTTCTTCATTACTCCCATCTGTTCATGCATCTGCTTGTATTTCCATGACCTCAGCTGAACATTAGCACCTATTCAAAGTGTCTGGCTGTTTTCAGTCATGGGGCCCTCCACCCTCATCCCTTCTAGGAGGCAGAGGAAAGAACTGCACTTTGAAGCTATAGACAATTGGATATTAATCTTGGTTAATCCACTTCCCAACTGTATGGCCTTGGAAAAATCACAACCTCTCTGAGCTTCAGTTTTGTCTTCCATGAGAGGAGGACGATATCATCACTTTACAGGTCAATGCACAAGAGAGAAACCTTCATGAGGGGAGGGATTTTTGTCTGTTCTGTTCACTGCTATTACCACTAGCACCTAAAACAGTGCTTGATACCTGTAGATATTTAGTGAATATGTGTCCAGTGGATGCACGGATGCATGGGAAGTCCCCAGCTGAGGGCCTGAGTTCATAATAGGAGCTCCATCAAAGTAGCCGTTATAATCTCTCTTCTCTCAGCCCAGCCTCTCTCCCTTGCCCTTCGGACGCTACGTCCCAGTCTCCCTGTTGAGCATCCGCTTTCCTGGCTCAGAGAGTTCTTTCCGGGATAGGAGCCGGAAGTTCCTCTGAGCGGCCAGGAGGGAGCAGCAGCGGCCGCGAAGGCCGAGGAAGGGCGCTCTAACCGCGGAGGTTGTGGCAGCCCCGGAAGTGCTCGGCCGCCGACACGACCCCGGCGCCCCGGATGGGGAAGGAGGCGGGCGGCCACTCTCCCGCTGCCGCGCACCCCTACGAACTCGCGGGCAGGTGGGTTCCGAGTGGGAGTCAGTGTGTCCGGGCCTCCTCCGGCATCCCCCGTAGGCTCGAGGCCGGGTGAGGGGCGGCGGCGGGCGGGGGAGGCCCGGGAGGGGGAGTAGGGCGCCCGCGGGGACGCCCTACCCTGCCCCACCCCCGCCCCCTCCCCCGCCTTGCGGGCGGGCGTTGCCCTTTTCGGCGCCTCTGACCCTCCAGCCCCCGCGGCGGCCTTGAGATCCCCGGGCTGGGTTCCCTGCTGCAGTGAGGGGGGCTCTCAGGGTGTCTGGCTTGTGATGCGAAACCTATCGTGCTCTCTATGGAAGAAATTAGGTCGGGCAATAAGAATTTTCCTCGCAGACTTGCTGGATGAACTTGGTATTTCTGACTCATAGTTTTCCCAGTGTGAAAAGGGTATCATTATCTGTGATCCTCCCGAGTTTCGGCGTTAATAAGTAGGATGATAGCTCTTTAAAGGATGTTAAGCTCAGTTAACGGATTAAGAATCTTGAGTCCTTGGTTTTGGTTAGATAAACCATAAAGCTCATATCTTTCTGTATTGTGAGGTTTACTTTTGTCTTTAGACCGGTAACTTGTTTTTATTTTAAGTAACAGATGCCTTTGAGAGCCCAATAAAAGCTTGGAACCTAATCCTAGAAATTTGCATAAATTATAACTACAAGTATGCATTGACAGTGTTTTTGAACGGTCTGAAGCCCATCTATAGACCTCAAGGATATGTGAACTCCTGAGTTAAGAACTGGTTTAGAGGCACAGGCTTTGGGGCAGAATTTCCATTGAAATCTGGATCCACTATTTACCACTGTTAACTTGGGCTAAAGTTACCTAACCACTTTGAGTCTCAGCTTTTTTACTAGTTACAGTGAGGTTGATACTAATTTGCAAGGTTGTGGAGATTAACCGAAAGAAGCTACGTAACACTCTTAGTACATAGTGAGCACTCCATAAGTGATAGCTGACAAGGGATTATAATGTAAAATCTGAAATGAAATTTTAATATCCATAATTATAAGATGGCCACCGTGTGTATTCTGTTCAGACTGCTAATCAACTTCTAATAAAGCAATAAGTTGGTTTGATTTTAACTCAGTCCTACCCTTGACCTGTCACAACTTTCATAGATTCATAGTCTCTCTTTTTCTAGGAACTTAGCTGTATTGTCCTGCCTCAGAGAACAAACTCATCTCCTGTAGGCCTAGCCTGGGTTGCTGCCTTTGAAAGCAAGGGAAAGTCGGTACAATATCACCCACAGCTCAGCATGGAATTTCCAGAGAGGTTTTATTTCAAAACTTTATAAAGATCGAGAACCACATGGACTTCTGCAAGGGAGATTGAACTGGCCTGGGTTTGAGCGAAAGGATAATGTGTGCCCAGCCTGTAACTAACACCAAAGAGGCCAGATGGCAGAAGGTCTTGTATGAGCGACAGCCTTTTCCTGATAACTATGTGGATCAGAGTTTCCTGGAAGAGCTCCGGAAGAACATCTATGCCCGGAAATACCAATATTGGGCTGTGGTATTTGAGTCCAGTGTGGTGATACAGCAGCTGTGCAGTGTCTGTGTTTTTGTGGTTATCTGGTGGTATATGGATGAGGGTCTTCTGGCTCCCCATTGGCTTTTTGGGACCGGCCTGGCTTCTTCACTGATTGGCTATGTTTTGTTTGATCTCATTGATGGAGGTGAAGGACGGAAGAAGAGTGGGCGGACCCGGTGGGCTGACTTGAAGAGTGCCCTAGTCTTCATAACTTTCACATATGGCTTTTCGCCGGTGCTGAAGACTCTGACAGAGTCCGTCAGCACTGACACCATCTATGCCATGTCAGTCTTCATGCTGTTAGGCCACCTCATCTTCTTTGACTATGGTGCCAATGGTGCCATTGTATCCAGCACACTGTCCTTGAACATGGCCATCTTTGCTTCTGTCTGCCTTGCCTCACGCCTGCCCCGGTCCCTACATGCCTTCGTCATGGTGACATTTGCCATCCAGATTTTTGCCCTATGGCCCATGTTACAGAAGAAACTGAAGGCATGTACTCCCCACAGCTATGTGGGAGTCACACTGCTTTTTGCATTTTCAGCCTTGGGAGGCCTGCTGTCCATTAGTGCTGTGGGAGCCATACTCTTTGCCCTTCTGCTGGTTTCCATCTCATGTCTCTGCCCTTTCTACCTCATTCGCCTGCAGCTTTTTAAAGAAAACATTCATGGGCCTTGGGATGAGGCTGAAATCAAAGAAGACTTGTCGAGGTTCCTCAGCTGAGTTAGGGACCTCCATTCCGTTACTGAGACAAGCTGATAGACCAGCCTTCCAACTAGTAGGAGATTTGAAGGCAGAGTTCCATTCTGGAAGTGGCATAATGATGTGGGTGGGAGATCAGAAATCAAAAGAAAAAAATTACCCATAGGCTTGGGCAGTGAAGGTGCTTCTCCTTTCTGTTACTTTGTCGATGAAAAAGCTTCCTGGGGCCCTCTTGAATTATTGCCTCTCATTATTATTCTCTGTAACAAATGAAATGATGTGGTTTCTATTTATTAAAAAAGTAACACATCCATCAAATTGTCTTATGATTTTTTCTGTGAGCAGAAGGCAGATAGAAGGGACATGAAGAGAGAATAAGAGAATGTGTGTGCATATAAAGTCACTTTTACCTTTTTCAGTGAACTAAATGCAGGCTCTATTATTTATCTGCAGCTCAAATTGTAGAACCCTGGATGTGTCCAGTTTTGTGGCCTGAGATCACAGAATTGGTCACTTAACCTTGACTCACAGTTTCCACTTAGTTCTTAATGAAGCATGGATGCAACTAGCTACAAGGGGCGTATGATGTGTCATAATACACTAGCAAAATGTTGGGGGACTTCAAAGAGGCTGGAGGTCAAATTAGCTGGAGTAATGAGGAAATACTTATTAGAGGAGATGGCACTTGAGCTTAGTCTTAGAGGTCAGGTGGGATTCAAGCAAGCAAAAGATGTATGGGGGCCAGGGTGGCAGAGACCTTTAGGAGCCAGGTCAACAATACGAGCAGCTGAAGCTGGCATGCTTTGTGGGACTAATGGCAGCTAGAACTATGGGGAGAGCATGCCCAGTCCAAAGAGGGTAACCACTACTCTGCATGCCTTGACTGACCAGAATTGGCTTATAATTATTATTTAGTCCACATCAGAAATGGGGCCAGGGCTTAGTGGTTGAATATAGTAAAGAGTTGTATAAAATAGCTTTTGCTTTTTAATGTTTTAATACACTTTCCTTATTTGAATGGATTTCCAATGATCAACTTTAGGGAACTCACATAGCAGCTGCATCCACGTTGGTGAGCAGAGAGTTGCCCACATTTGAATCCCTTTCAAAAATACTTCCTCAGTGGGATGAATGAATGTGCCTGTGCTGTCATGTTCAGCTCTTCCACACAATAGTATTTGGAATTACCCGAGGCCTGATCCTCTGCAGTCTGATGGTTGCAGAAGTTCCCCGTGGAGGTGGCAGGGGATGGGGTGTTATGGGCTGGATGTGAGGGTGCAGGGTGGGGCAGCAGATTCAGTTCAAAGAGAAAAGAGGTGACTGTGGGGAGAAGAATATTCCAACCGGAGTGAACAGTGTGTATGTCCAGGTGCACAGGGCCTGACTCATCCTGGCAGGAGAGGGGAGTGCAGAATGGACGGGCTGCAGTGAGAGGCTGAGGTCTGAGCGTGGTGAATACCTTGAATTCCTGGATCCTGGAGTCAATGGCAAATTAAGGAGCTTTTGAAAAGGGATATAGGGCTCCCACCAAACACACTTGTGTGTGTGTGTGTTTATAAAATTCTGGTAGCAGGATTCAGGCTGAACTACAGAGGCTGAGCATGGGAAGCTCTTGTGGTAAGAGTGAAAAATGAGGGTCTACACTAAGGGTGGTGACTGCACCAA